ATTAGATTTCTGTCTCAGCTAGTTAATGCTGAGTCACAAACCACCTCAAAACTCAATAGCATAAAAGACACAAAAAGCACAATGCATAAAAGAAAAAACAATAAGTGTTGTTGAGAATTCAGAATTCAAAATGGTAAGCCACAAAATAGAAGAAAAAATTCACAACACATATATTTAACAAATAACCTGTATCTAGAATCTATAAAGAGCTGTAATAGTTCAAGAATATGAAGATAATTTTAAAAGGAGCAAAAGATTTCAACAGTCACAAAAAGAGGATAGACAAATGGCCAATAGGCACATGAAAGGGTATTCAACATTGTTAGTCCTCAGGGAAATGAATTAAAACTACAATGAGGGCTACGTGCAGCAGTTCACACCTATGAACCCAGCACGTTGGGGTGTCTAGGCTAAAGATATAAGTGGGTGGATTGCTTGAGCCCAAGAGTTTGAGACCAGCCTGGACAACGTGGCGAAACCCCATCTCTATCAAAAAAATTAGCTGAGCTTGGCGGCAAGCACCTGTAGTCCCAGTTACTTGGGAGGCTGAGGTGGGAGGATGGCTTGAGCCCAGGAGGCAAAGGTTGCAGTGAGCCGAAATCTCACCACTGCACTCCAGCCTGAGTGACAGAGTAAAACCCTGTCTCAAACAAACAAACAAACATAGCAAAAAAACTACAATGAGATACCCCTACCTACTCTATGAGAATGGTTAAAATTTAAAAGACTGACAATGCCAACTATTTGAGATCACCAATATATACACGGTCAAAACTCACTGAACCTTTTAAATGTATGCAATTTATACTATGCAAATTAAATCTAAAATTAATTTTTTAAAACTCAATGGGTTAAAGCTATAATTCTTACAGTTCACGAGTCTGGGGGTTAAATGAGAGTCAGCTGCTTAGGGCTTGGCTCAGCCAATCTCAGCTGGATTTGTGATCCACTCTAACAGGGCTTGACTGAAGTTCCTTAGGAAGCTCTGCTGCAGATTTCCCATCCTATCCTTTTTTTTTCTTTTTTTGAGACGGAGTTTTGCTCTTGTTGCCCAGGCTGGAGTGCAATGGCGCAATCTCAGCTCATCGCAACCTCCGCCTCCTGGGTGCAAGTGATTCTCCTGTCTCAGCCTCCCCAGTAGCTGGGATTACAGGCATGTGCCAACGCGCCCTGCCTTCTCATTCTCTCAGGGCCAGAGGGTTAGCCTAACCTTGTGCTTCTCATGGTAGTAGCAGAAGTACAAGAGACAATAAGTGGAAATACACAAGTATTCTTGAGGACTAGGCTTAGTATGTGCACACTGATGGGGTTCAGAATATCCTACCCCAAAATATGGCACCTTGGCATTTGAGAAAACAGCAGAATCAGGAAGATCACTCTCATTCCTCCCTCACTCTTCTCCCCTGAAGCAGGTCATAAAACCTAGGAAGGTCACTCTCTGACCTTCTCCTGCCCTTCTATTCTGAAGCAGATCATAAGACCCTCATTCAAGAGATACCCTTCATATACCCAGAGAAAAGGAAACATCCTTATCTCTGAAGAGACAGGGACCCAGAGAAAAATCCGAATGTACAAGCCTCGCTAAGCTCCTCCCAGTTTAGTACTAGCAGATCACACCCTTTTGTCCTCCAGTCATATTTCTCCATGATTGTCCTCTTTTCCTACACCTAAGCATAAAAATACACACGTTCAACTGTTTCTTCAGAAGGCTCCCAAGTCACACAAAACTTATACTAAACACACGTTTTTGCTTTCGTCTTTTTAATCTGTCTTTTGTTATAGGGGCCTCAGTCATGAACACAGTGATAGGTGAGAAAAAGATATTTCCTTTCCCTACAATACATTGAATTTGGCTTCATCCTGTCAAGCAAGTGACAGATTAAGCCTAGATTCCACAGGGGTGGCAGGAAGAGTAGATTCTGCCTCTCAGTGAGAGGGAATGCAGAGTCACACGGCAAAGGCTGTGGACATCATGCAATCAACCTCAACATCCAAATGGGGACGTCACACATCCTAGAAATATGTGTCTAGGCTAAATACATAATGTCATGGTTGTCAGAATGGGAAGGTATCTGAGGCGGTAGGGGCCAAGGGGAAACCTCTCCTTCACTCTCTGAAGGTTTACTGAAAAATCAACTCAAAAAAGACTGGTTAATTGGAGAAAAGGCAAATGAATTTATTTAATGTATGCACATGGGGAGAACCACCGAGGGATTGCCCACCCCTCAACAGTGTTCAGAAACTTACACACCATCCTGGTAGAGCAGGTTACAGGAGGGGAGGGAAGAGCAATTCTGTTGAGGAGATTACTAGGGAGGATGAGTGGCTCAGGGAACAGAGATGAACTTGTACATTTTCTTGGAAAAGGTTCTGTGCAGGTGTGATTACACTCTTGGTCTTACAGAGAGGGGAAGAAGAAACAATTGTTCCTTTTGGCGGGTCTAGATCTTAGGCAGATAAAGATTTGGGGAGAGATGTCAGAAGTGGGGAGATATCAGAGAGACTGCGAGGCTTCTTCAGTTTAGCATGTAAAAGCACCACATTTAGGGGTATGCGCTTCTGACCCCTAACAAGGCCATGTGACTAAAACAATCACCTAGAGAATGAGCGATGACAAAGATGAGAAGAGAGTCAAGATTGGGGAGATGACAGGAGCCAATGGAGGACACTGAAGTGGGGTGCCAGTGCTGATAAACTCAAGAGAGAACACAGGTAAGAAAGTGTCTTCAAAAAGGAGGGGGCATGATCAACTGTGGTGATTACTGCTCCATGAAATAAATAAAACTGCAATCACTGCCAGGTCCTTCTTGAATAGTCACTTCATTATGGATATATCAGTGTGTTCAACTAGGATGCAGTTCAAATGTAAAAAAGAAACTCTGTCCTGTCATACACGCCCAGCCAGGTAGATGAACCAGGTGAGATTAGCTGAGCCCAGCCAGAACTATATCTTTTGCTATATTCAATCCTTTATAGATGCTGGGGTCATTTCCAACATTAGTGAGATCTATAGTCTAAATATTTATGTAACAAGTATTTATTGGGGGCCTATTTTGTCATACACTGTTCTAAGCAATGAGGCTTAGAAAAGAAAATAAGAGTAGATATCCAGCTGTCATAGAGTTTGTTTCAGTGGAGAGAACAAACAAGAAACATAAACAAGTACACACATAAATGAGCAAGTAATTTCAGATAGTGGTGAGTGCTGGGATGAGGATAAAGCACATTGATGACTGGTGACGGGAAGGTGACTGGGGGAAGTATTTTTGATCATATGGTCAGGGGAGGTTTCTCCAAGGAGATGATAGTTGGCTCAGATCTAAGTTATTCAAATTAGACAAATCCTTAGAGAGTTTTATTATAGTTTTTGACCCTCCGCCAATGCTAGACTGATACTCAGAAAGGAGAATTCCAGCATCATCTCCTATTCTCTACCACTCTGAGGAGAGATGTCAATAAAATGGGACAGTAGGCATACCAAGAGAGGTATACCAGATGCCTCCTGGACCATGGGACTTCAAATCTGCACTTCTCTGGCCAAAGAAGAATCCTTTACAAGAATCGTACCTAGTCAAAGCTATTCAAAAAGCAGAAAGGTCTTCTTTGACTCACCAACTGTGTTTTTGTTCTGTGACATGAAGAAAGGAAGTTATTACACTCTGCAGAAGGAAAAATCATGATTGACTCAGAGGGCCCTTGACTGGTCATGACCTTCCCACTTTCTGCTATCAGAGAAAGGAAGTGAGGTGCCAAGTGATATGTTTTACATCTCCCTGAGACCCATTAGCAAACTCAGATGGTTGGAATAGGTATTGGAATGAAGACACTAGCTCAAAGGGACAAAAGAACTTAGCCAATGTTACTCGGTTAATAAGTGACGACACTAGAATATGAACCAAGGACTGGCTGTTTCCAGAGCCCCGTGTTCTTTCAACTAAATGTCTCTGCCAGGCCGCCACACTGGATATTAGAAAATAAAAACCATTCAAAGATACAGGACAGAACCAATTCATCTGTGGAATTCTTTCAGAGGAAAAAAAAAAGAGAGTGAGAGTAAGATCAATAATGCCATGTTGCATTTTCAATGATGGGCAGTGAGAACAGCACACAAGAATTTATAGAAAAAGAAGATATGTGTATTCCCTGGGGCTGGAAACTTGTTAGACATTAATAGCAAGAAAATTGTTAAGAAGCTGACAAGAGGCAAAGGAAATGTCCTTGCTTTCTCCCTGCAAAAACCTCCTTGAAGGAGATGCGAGAGAGAACACAGGATGGAAAATTGAAGCAGATTTGGGATAGAGAAAAAAAAAAAGAAAAAAAAAAAACCCACAGGAGAGAAATATGAGAAAGCTTGAAAGAAAGCAATATGAAATAAAACAATTTTGTAGTAAAAAGGAAAATAAGCATAGCTGTTGTAAGAAAAGCAGGATAGTTAATTAACAAGGGGGATAAAAATGTCCTGCAGATAATATTTATCATCCTTCCCAGTTTTCCTGTGGCTTTATTTGTGCCCATCTGTTGGCCTCATCTTTTCCAAGTGTCTGTTGCCACATATAGAGGCCATTAATTTATTGAAAATATTACTGAAATCAGATTGCTTCTGGCCTTCTTGTTGTTTTAACTTTTTTTTAAAAAAAAAAAAATTGTGTGTGTTTGTTTGCCTGTTTGTGTTTACATTTGGCAAATAGGGAAACATAGCCTTTCCAACCCATAGCATAAGAAAATATGGGAGGGAAACTCTCTATTCAGAAGCTTATTTCTCTACATGTGCAAACCAATTTTGCCAAATGCACTTGTACACACATTCTTCTTCCCCTGGGGTGAGAAATCTAAACCTGAAACATTCTGACAAGAACAAAGAAAGCAATTGCAATACTGTATTAATTTGCCTTAGGAAAGAACTTAGCAAAATGGATGATGCTTATTATGAATACATCCAAGTTAGATTTTAAAAAGTATCCATTAGACTCCCTTAGGAAATAAGTAGTGGACACATTCAGATTATACTCATGTTTATTTCAAAAACAGGGACGAAGAGCCTTCTTGTCGTCAGTCACAGGCTGATAGGAGTCTACTTTTAGCTAGGAACCACCAAAGGAAGATAATTGTGCCATTTTAAATGCCACATAATGTTCTTAATCAGCAACCAAGTGTAGAAGGGAGTCTGTAAAGGGCCTGGGGTCCTGATTCAATTTCTTCAGCTTCCCAAGGCCACTCCCGAAGAGCAGGCAGACCACCCAAATCCCGCAGCTTGTCAAACCGGCTCTGGCCCCAGAAGGGATTTATGAGTGCTTCACTTCACGGAATACCACCCAGGCTGGCTGGCTGCAAATGCGGGCTGCCTGTTATTTCTCCTTCATTTCCCAGGAAGCGTGAGGGAGAGAGCTCTGCGCCTCCCGATGGGCGCCAATCCCAGCCTCTTGACATCTCTCGCACTGAGCCACCTTTTCACTGGAGAATCCCAGCTGTTCTCCACTTCCCCGCTTGCTTGCTGGCAGTCTGGTGTACAAAGCAGAAGGGGTGAGACAGAGAGAGAAGAACCAAGGGGCTTTTGGAGGCTTGCTTTTGCCTGAAAACAAATACTTGAGGGAGAAAAATATGCTTTAAAGGCTAAAAGATGGGAAATGAAGCAATTCACTTCCACAAAACCATTTAGAACGTGGGTGGTGGGATGGGTGGCATTGGGAAGAAACTAGTCTTCTTCTAAGTCAGCCCCTCTGCTGCATCCCCTTGGTGCCACTGTGGCCCTGACGACGGAAGCTCCCTTACCTGGATCCTTTCCATGTTGCTCTAGAGACTGTCTTTTCCTGCTTCAAAGTCTGTGCACTCTTGGCGGCCACCCACTAAGATCCTATTTCCTGTCTGAAGGACGCCTTGGCTCTCTGCAGGGCAGAGATAACTGGTGTGCCAATGAGTGACGAGCTCAAGGATGCAGCCACTTCCCCTCCCTGGGAGACTTTCCAGTGACTCACTGCTCTGTCATTCCAAAAAGAAGTGCGAAGATTTTCATCAGATTATTAATTTGCATTAACAATTTTATTTTGTGTGTGTGTGTGTGTGGTACAGATGGAGGTCTTGCTGTGTTGCTCAGGCTGGTCTCGAACTCCCAGGCTCAAGCAATCCTCCCACCTCAGCCTCCCAAAGTGCTGGTACTACAGACATAAACCACCATGCCTGCCCTAAATTGCACTCTTAAGATTTACACATGAGAACTATATAACTAAGAGTAGATGCTTTTAAATAGTAGGACAATTTAACACCCCCCACAAAAAAACCCTTTAAGGGATGCAAGGAGCATGTAGGAGAACAGAATATGCCACCCCATAATATGCCTCTTTGGCATAAGAATTATTTAGAGCTGATTATTTTGAGAAAATGCAGACATAGGAGAAACTCTGAAAACAGAGCAGAAATTACATAAAGAAAATTTACATCTATGAAGGAAATCTCCATTTGTAAAAGTGTCTCCTCTCTGTACCAGTCTAAATCACTAGAGATGTAACAATGGAGAGAGCACTGACGAATCTGCATAATAAACCTCACCCTGGTTTGCCACGCTTTTCCTGGTTACTTCCCCATAACCTGCCTTTCCCACACCCTTCTTTGTTTCAGTTAAAGATGGTATTTACGTCTGAACTCAAAGCCATCTCTTTGGAATTTACTCATTTTTCCCTGGGTAACTCTCATGTATATATGAAGCAGACATGTTAATAAACTTCTATGTGTTTTTCTCTTGTTAAGCCATCTTTTGTTACAATGTGTCCTGGCTAAGAACTCAGAATGGGTAGAAAGAAAATTATCTTTTTCTCCCCTACACTTGCCTGGACGTCTACAGCCAGCAAATGCCTAATGTGGAATTTTAATGCACCCAGACCACTTCTAGTTATTAAAGGATCTAAAATTTATATGCAAAAGTGATGGTCTCAGCAGTCAGCTCTTTTGCAGCCTCATTCAATCTCAGCCTCCTTTTCCTCTGAGGCTCTGATAAAGGCCAGCTCTCCAGCCTGGAAATGTAATGTCAGCTCGTGATCTATCCCAGCAAGTATCGCCATGCTTTCAGAGCACACCAATGGGAGCAATTACCTGCATTTTCAAGAAACCATGTTTGTCTGAAAAATCTCCACATTTATTTTCTCAGCTAAAAACAATGAAAATAAATCCTGAGTGGAGAAGTGACCACTATCTTTCATTCTGCACCCGCCAACTTTGCTTTGCTACATACAACACTCAAGCCTGACCATTGCAAGTGCTTTCCCAGTTTTGCAGAAAGCACAGTTGTTTACTGGTCATAACTTTAACAGGGGGAAAACTAGACTCTGGGTATGAGACATAGAAACAACCAATCACTGATCTGGTCATTCCTTGACTCCAAGACAAGGCTATATTTAAAACTTACTCCACAAATTGCTCATACACAGTGTTTGTAGTACTCAGCCCTCACTAAAATGTTAGCAGTCTACCTGGTTGCAGCTAGCCCTCCTTCACCCCAGTACTGACGTCTCCTTCCTGAATAGATTCATTATTTATTAATAATGAAGTAAGCTGAGTAAGATCTCCCTAGGTCTAATTTAAATAAAGCAGAATGTAAATGAGCTATTTCCTTGGATTTTATGCCATGCTGATTAAGTAACCATGTATAAACCTTCAGGTACACAGTTAAAAATAAGAAGGAATACACATTCCCAGAAAAGACTCATGCTTGTCCTTGACAATAGCCTCAAAAGATTAAGAGCACACGTCAAATCCCAAGATTCACTTGTCTTCAGTAATTCAGTTCAGTAAACTTTTATCAATCATCTACCACGTACAGGTGACTGGGCTTGTCATTTCAGGAGGAATAAAGATGAATAAGACATGGTACCTGCACCAGAAGAACTTATTCATTTCTCATCCATTAAGGTATGGACACCTTATTAGTACCAAATTTTATTTTTCATCCCAAACAAGACTTGCATTGGACAGGGTCAAGCCATGCCCTCATTCTGTGGCATGAATTGAATTCCATAATCAAAATGCCAATGCTGAAATAAAGGAGGGGGGAAATATTAACAATTTTTTTCTAGAAATTAATTTGTGTTGATTGGAATCTATTTTCCCAGGGCACACCTTTTTCCCAAAAATTTCTTGGATGCATTCTCAAATATTTGTCTTCATTGTAATTTTGCTTCTGGTTTGCTGTAAGACCTATTATTCTCTATGTTTTATTACATGAAAGGAAGGGAATCTAGCTGCCTTCTCCTCTGCAAAACACAAAACTAGTGAGACAAGGCTGTTAAAAGAATGAATGCCATCATGTCTTATGTAATTTGGAGAATTTCTCTTTAGCTGATATTTTGAACACAGACAAAATGCTGAATATGTAATGCCCGGAGACAACTAATTCTAATAAGCCCTAAGAAGAGGCAGTGTTTAAATGGAAATTAGCGTTATGAAATTAAAAAGGAGCATGAGGTAGGCGGGTCAGGATAGCTGAGGCCATAATGAGCAGTGACCTTTTCTCAAACACTCTTAAATCTGTTGCCCAGTCTAGCCAACTAGTCAGCCAAATGCATCATCATTTGAGAAAATGTTCTAACCTGAGTCTAGATTTGCTTGGATATGAAGGGTGCTAAATATGTTACTACCCCCCACAAAAATATATGCCACTTTGGCATGAGGATTATTTTGAGCTAAAGGCAATTGAGAACCAGCAGATGGAGGAAGAGCTCTAATTTCCTCTAATTGCCTAAAACTAAAGAATACATTTTCCCTTTTGTAAGGAAAATTTACATTTAATAAGGAAATTTTCATTTGTAAAAGTGCCTCCATACCAGGAAGAAAGCTACTCAGGAGACAACTCTTATCACTGAGACACTCTTATCTGCATAACAAGGCAATCCTTATTTACTATACATTTCTTCCCCTCACCTTCCCATAACTTGTCTTCCCTGTACAGAAGCCCCAAGCCCCTTTTCCTTTGCTTAGTAAGAGGGCGTATGAATCTCAATCATCTGGCTGCCTCCTTGAGCCACATTTTTTTTTTTCTGTGATTGGGAGTCACATTTCTTTTCTCTCTGCATACATATACAATTAGAACTTTTTTTTGTTGTTTTTTGTTTTTTGTTTTTTCTCTCTCTCTGTCTCGTTAATCTGTCTTTCATCAGTTTGATTTATGGGCTTTAGTCATTGAACCTAGAATGAGAGAGGAAAATGGATTTTTTTCCTTCGCCTTCAGAAGCTGTATACATTCTAGCAAAGATGTTGATGGTTCTTTCTATGTACTCTACAACAGAGGTCCCCGACATTTTTGGCACCAGAGGCTGGTTTCATGGAAGATAACTTTTCCACAGATGGGGAGGGGACAGTTTCAACATGAAACTGTTCCATCTCATAAGGAGTGCACAACCTACATTCCACACTTGCACAGTTCATGCTCCTATCAAAATCTAATGCCCCAGCTGATCTGACAGGAGGCAGAGCTCAGGCAGTAACGCTCACTCACCCACCGCTCACCTCCCCTCTGTGGCCTAGTTTCTAACAGGCCACAGACTGGTACCAGTTGGGGACCCCTGCTCTGTAACACCTCTGAAAGTTGTTTAATCTAGATTGCAGGGAAACTCAAATATGCTAACATAAGCCAAGAGCTCTTCCTCAAATGGGGAATATTAATGACAGACTTCTGGGCTGTCCAAGTTCTTGGGGCACTTCATGGCTCATACAGCTGGTAAAGCTCTGCACCATGTTTCTCCTGTTTGACCTAACATCCTGTGTCTCCATTGTATTTCATACCACGTGTCTACCCAGCCCAAATTCAACAGAGCATTTAAGACCTTCCAACAGGATCTGAAAGGATGACCCTTTGAAATGGGTCATTACTAGTGCAAAGAACAGTTTCCACTAATAAGAAGTTCCCATTTACTCCTAAAGGGCAAAGATTATATTTCATTGATATTTGTGGGTTATGTTCCCCACACCTCAACCCCAGTACATGGCACTATGCCTAGTTCAAATTAACACAGCAGGAGTTTGTGGAGGAGGAAAAACTTTTTCTGTGTTCCTTAGGAGGCCTGCAAATTAAACTGAAGAAAAAAAAAAAAGATGAACAGAAGAACAAGTTTATTTGTTCATATAATGGGCATACATGCAGGAGTGCTCAGTAAATCAAAGAAGTGATTAGAATGTGGGGCTTATGTACTTCAGTTGCTAGAGAAAAGGAAGATGGAAGAAAAGGCATCTATGTGAAGAACAAATAAGTTTCTTTAGGAATGATAGATGGATTTTTAGGTGAACAAATTAAAGATAAGAAAGTTCGTGATAAGTGCTCTTTCTGTCTTCTTCATGGTCATGAAACTCCCTGGGAGAGGGAATCTGTGGTAGGTTAACTCTTAGTCTGTTTCCCAAAGACCTGCCCTAAAGAGAGAACTTATGGCAATCTCATCTACTAGAGGTTCCTGCTTTTAGTCAGATAAGGAATACTTCAAGAAGGCTCCTTTCTGTACGTGTTGAATCTCAGATATCTTCAAGTTACTCTTTATACTGACTCTTCATTCCAAGTGGGTCCCCATATGTTCAATTAATGAAGATGGAACGGGATGAAACACTATGTGGAGCATGGTTCCTAGGTGAGATAAGCTAAGCAAAATGCTTCCCATGCTGATCGCTGAAAGGCTTCATTCTTTCAAAGAGTCTCCAAATTAGATTTCTATTAGGTGGCAGCTACGGTAACTGCCCAGTGGGTTCACCTTGCCTGCTGCCTAGACAGAGCCAATTTATCAAGACAGGAGAGCTGCAATAGAGAAAGAGTTATTCACACAGAGCTGGCTGTGCAGGAGACTGAATTATTATTACTCAAATCAGTCTTCCTGAGCATTCAAGGATCAGAGTTTTTAAGGATAATTTGGTGGGTTGGGGGCCAGTGGTCAGGAGTGCTGATTGGTTGTGTTGGAAATGAAATCATAGGGAGTCAAGCTGTGCTCTTCTGTTGAGTCAGTTCCTGGGGTGGGGAGCACAAAATCAGATGAGCCAGTTTGTCAGTCTGGGTGGTGCCAGCTGGTCCATCAATTTCAGGGTCTGCAAAATATCTCAAGCACCAATCTAAGATTTTCCAATAGTGATGTTATTCCCA